GGACATGAACTATAACTGACCCTTCCAGCACTTCCTTCACGCTAGGCACTATTTTAAGAAACTCACACATACTAAAGCATTGAATTATCACAAGCAAGTATTATCATCATAGATAGAGAAACTGAGGCTACCAGAATTATTATTCTTATTTCTCCCTTGTCCTGTCTTAATAGGCTAAATTTGTTATTTTTCATACTAGGTATTAGGAATTTTGGTGATCTATCAACAATGTTGACTATCAATCAATAAATGAATAAAGAATATATTTGAAGACCCCCAACAACAAGTGCTGGAGATGATGCAGAGAAAGAGAATCGCTGTTGGTGGGAGTGTTAACTGATAGAGTCATTTTGGTGAGTGAACTACGTTTACTTTAAAAAATTAAAATGGAAATACCGTGTGACTCAGTAATCACTGAGAAGAACTTGAAACCATCAGCTCAAAAATTTATATGCTCTGTAATGCTTAATGCAGCATGATTCACAACATCTAGGACAGGGAAACCACCTGAGTGCCCACTGATGAGGAGTGCATCCAGGCGATGTGCATCCACACAATGGAATACTCAGTATTAGGTTCATAAGGAAAGATGAAATGTTGCCATTTATAGCAAAATAGAAGGTGTTCAAGGGAATTATTTGCAACAAAGCAAATCAGTACGACAAAGACAATTATTCCACATTTACACAACAGATAATTCAATAAGGCAGAATACTTATAAAAACTAGTGGACATTCAGGCCTCCCTGGTGGTGCAAGGGGTTAAGTCTCAGCACTATGATGCTATCAGCAGTCACTGCAGCACAAGTTAGATCCCTGGCAAGAGAGCTGACCCGCATGGCTCAGCAGACCTCTCCTGTCTTGTTCCCTGCTCCCCTCAGCAGTGTATTTTAGTCAATCCACCTGTTCTGCTCTCCACTGTGTCTCTGGTGAATCTTCTCACACTCCCTCCCCAACCCCCACCCCTGCACCTCTGGCCTACACCCCAGCTCTTGTATGCATAAATAAATAAAATAAATCTTTAAAAAAACCCAGCGGACATTAATAACCAAAGTGAGATTTATGGGGGAGATGTTAAAAAATAAAAACAAAAACAAAAAATGAGGTTTCTGATGTTAAAAGGGAGTAGAGGGGAGAAAAGGTCTAAGGGATTATAAAGGATAGTGGTAGGGAAAAAAAAGATTATTCAAGGATTTTACAGCCTTCAACAAAAACTCAGACTAAATAGAGTGGTTCACCATTATCTCTTAACATAATACGGACATGCTTGTCAATGAGTTCATAAAATATAAACATACACACCAAATATAAAAGAAGGAAAATTTCTTCAATGCCTAGAGAACAAAGTACAAAAAGAATAAAGCAATAAACTGAATTGAGTCCAGGTCTTCATAGGGAATTAAACATTTCTTCCAGGATTCCATGTTACTTTGAAGGTGGAAAGGGTAGGATAGGGCTCTGGGGGTCACAAGGTCCCTCTTGGTTCATTAATTTCACAGTTGGATACCTGAGCATCTTGTCCCTGTCCCCGGGTATGAGAGGTAAGGAAGCTGGGACAATGGGAACTATGTGCAAGAGGAGACAACAAGAATTTAGGTCTCAAGTTAAAGAATAGTCTCAGCTCAGAGATTTCTCCGACTTTCTCCCAATAGCATCAAGCAGAGATTCATCTGAACCTTTCTTAGTGTTTTACTCACTGATCCAGATGCCAAGAAGAGATGGTGAGAGCAGGAGACTGCAGCAGAATCCTTACTCCAGCTTGGACCCTGAAAGAGTTAGGACATTGTGAGATTAGAGTCGACTGGGATTTCCTAAAGCCGGAGTAGTCAGTCCCTGCAGTCAGAACCGACAGTTTTGTACCCCGTTCAGGTGGCAGCACCTAAATGATGAGAATAGGCCAATGGGAGGTGGGACCCTATTGATGAGGCCCAGGGGTGCTGAGGGACCTCGAGGTTCTTGACTTCTTTTCAGGGAAGAATTTATGCTGGAGTCAGAGTAGGTGGGTTAGAAATGAAGCTTTATTGTAAGCAATAGTACAATGATCAAGAGAGAATGCGGGCACATATCAAGGGACAAATTTATGCCTTGAATCTTTCTAGTTGAGGTGGCAGGGGGCTTACACATGGGATAATGAGATTTGGCCAATTAAAAAAAAGATTTATTTATTTATGCATACAACAACTGGGGTACAGGCCAGAGGTGTGTGTGGGGTGGAGGGGGTGAGAGGATTCACCAGAGACAGAGTGCAGAACAGGCAGATCCGCTGAAATACACTGCTGAGGAAATTCAGGAGAGGTCTGCTGTGCCATGTGGGTTGCTCCCTGGCCAGGGGATCGAACTCATGCTGCAGAGGCTGTGGATACCTTCATAGGTTGCATCTTAACCCTTTTCACCAACAGGGAGGCCCAGAGGTTTGGCCAATTTGTTTAACAAAAACCACCGGGCTCTAACCTCCTGTTAGTTAGATAAGATAGAAGTTTTACAACTAGTGGCACCTGGTGTGAGATAAACTAATAGGATTTGAGTTCTTTCTTCTGGAATGTGCTTCCCCAGTCACTCAGCTCCACCCCTCCTTAGGTGGGGCAGGGAACATGGAACCACACCTTTAAATGGAGACTCCTCTGTAACATTTTCCTATCATAGCCTCATCATACAGCCAGGATAAAAGTTAAAATATGTACTTCAACAATTAGTATACATACATGGAATTTTATTGACAAATAATTAGAACTAAATACTAACACATTACGTGCAAAAAAACCTTCTATTATATTAAACCCTTGTAAAATTCTGTCATCAAGATCTATAATTAGCCCCTGTTATTTGGGCAGGATCTTTAATTAGGTCCATTTAGCTCAAAGCAATGCCTTTCCCCCTTCATTCCTGCCTCCGTCAAGTTATTTATTGAAGCCCTCTCCTGCCATGAGCAGATTCTGGTGGGGGTGGTGGTGAGTGGACTGGTCACCTGATGTCAGCGACGAAGGTGAGCGTATGGTCCAGGATGCTTTTCTGGCAGGTTCACAGACCAAGCCAGCGCTGTACTCACCTCGTCTCCGGCCACGGTCCAGGTTCTCTTTCTTCATCTTCACAGCAGTGGGCAGTGGGTTCACACGACAGTGTGGAACAAGTGTGGTCACCATCTCCCCAGGGAGAAGGTGATGAGGGTAGGGGGTGAACTCGGGTCTCCGGAGCTCTCCGTGTTTGGACTTCAGGAACACATTCGCAGGCCCACGCCCACCCAGGGAGCCCCACCCAGTAGGGGAGGGCCTTCCCCGTGGGAGCTGTGGGCATAGGCCGCCCGTCATGGCCAGGACCACTTAGCAGCCTGGAAACCCTTGGCCCCCACTGCCGCCATCTGGACCTGCATTTCCCCCAAAGCCATGTTGTCAATAGAACGTTCTGTGATGGAGGATATATTCCAAGTCTGCTTTAGTTAATGCACGAGCTGTGAGTCACTCGAGGTTATTGAGCACTTAAAACGCGACTAGTGAGTCTGAGGAGATGCTGGCATATTTCATGCTTTGAATTATTATTAATATAAATTCACATATAAATCGCCTCCTGTGACCTGTGCCTACAGTATTGGACAGAGGAAGCCCCTTGATTAAAACAGATAACTGCAGTTTGAAGGGGTGGCCTTGATGTGAGTGACCTGGCTCAGAGGCCAACTTGAACCACATCTGGTCAGTTCCTGGGTGGTGTAGGAGCCTGAAGAGTTTTCTGAACCACGTTCCAGCACCTGGCCAGGAGTCCCTAGGGATCAGCCAGATTAAACGGTGCATGGAAGAGAGGGTGGACATGGACTTGGTATTCGTTTATCTTGGGGAAAGTTCCTTGGGAGTGGGTGCAATTGAGGGAATGTGAAATTGTTACAATTCCAAGTTGGTAGCATTCAGTGGGGATTGTGGGAAAGAATTGGGGAGTAGGACAGAGGCACGGGGGTGTAAGAATTCACCAGAGACAGTGGAGAACAGAAAACAGGATTTATTGAGATACACTGCAAAGAAGAAGCAGTGGGGAAGCAGGAGAGTCTGCTGAGCCAAGAGTGGGGGTCCCGCGCTCTATTTCTGCTCCAGCCATCAGGCATTGCTTAGGATGACTAGTTTCGGGTGTTTCCTGACTAATGATCCGGGTCATCAGCCTAAGGGGCCCAGTTCCCACGGCTAGTCAAGCCTCCCAAACTTGCCTGCCAGGCCAGGAGTGGGGGCGGCAGTGCCGTCCATAGTTGCTGGAGGTTAGCCGAGGATAGAGATAATTGCTAAGTTGGAGATTCTTCATAGTGACGTGTGATCCCCTCTTTCTGGCATGGGGTACTGTCCATAACTATGCCTTGTTCTGTCTTAGAAGATATTTCAAAGATCAGAGATGTGATGCTTATTTTTTTGGCAGCTAATTTATAGAACCTACAGAAATTAAAAAAAAATAGAGCTTAAGATGGACTGTGCACTTTGATTTGGTTATAAAACAAGAATTGTGGATGCGGAACTCTTCCTGGACCACATCTTGCCCCAGGGAGTGTGAAGACTGCCCCCCCCCCCAGGAGGAAAACAACAGAGAGGGCAAAATCTGAATGACCAAAGGCTATTCTGACCTGGCGATACCTGGCCTGGGGTGGTCAGGGAGGGAGGGAGCACCCCTGGTGATGTTCACACAGGACATGCTTGGGCAATTGACCAAAGCTTCCCTTGGGCTGCAGGATCAGCAGAACCCAGTGGGACCAACAGGTGGTGTTTGGTCAAAGAGGGCCAACAAAAAGGAGAACGAATTTGCTTTGGGATCTTGGTGACACTTGCAGCCCCTCAATACAGCACAGACCCCAGGTTAAAGGTAAATTCTGGGACAGGGCAGGGCCTGTGGAGGGAGGAGTTTGTGATGTGTTCAGAGCCTCACAGATGAGGTGCTGGGGAGAGAATTATGCAGTGTGGGAGTGGAAGAAAGCACTTTCCATCAGGATGTTTATGGAAATTATTCTTGGTAAGGAGAGGGAGAGAAGGTCAGAGAACAAGGGATCTATCCTCATGGCTGGTAAGAAACTCTTCAGCTGAGCTCCCACCAGGAGCTTCTAGGTCAGGACTGGGCATGAGCAGCCCCTCAATGTCTGTGCTCTTTGTTTAATGAGCAAACGATCCCACAGAAGGCAGAACAGCACTGAAGTCCTCCTGGGCAATCTTCCTGCAAATTACAGATGTGAGTACAGTTTTCAGGGGATGATCTGCAGGGTGGAGGGTCCAAGATATACCCTGGAACACAGAACAGAAAAAAAAAAGGGTCCGAACAATAGTTTGGAGTAACATTCAGACTCCAAAGTCCTAGGAACGGCCTGGAAACCAGTAACCCTGGTCTCCCTCATGCGGTCACAGGGAAGTGGAATATGATTTTTTCCTTAGCTGCCACCTTCTCAGAGTCCCAAGCAGGGAAAACCAGGGCTTGGATATTTGATTGAAGACAAAGTTCAGCAGAACCCTGTACCCACTGGGCATAAGACTTTTCCTTTCAGATCAGATGCCAGGTCTCCCATAAACTCTGGTTGGGTCTAGTTCAAGAGAGTGTTCAGTAAGAGAAGGGTGTGCGGGTTCATTTGCATTAATTCACAGTGCAGTTTCAAAGCAAGTTATGGAGTCATTAATAATATAGTTTATCCTAAGTTAGACCTAACAAGTAGGTTGACCTACTTATGGATAGGAGGATTGAGTAGGATGAAGACTACCGAGCACATGGAAGGTACTGGCATCAGAATGCTAGAATTCAAATTGCAAATGAGTTCTGGAGTAATTCTTTCCATGGGGAGAAAGGGGTATATTTCAGGATGGGGTGAAAGATCAGCTTCTCCTTCCTCCCTGGTCTCTAAATGATGGGGAGGCCAGGGCACCATGATGCTCTTCCTTCTACTGTTAGAGAATAATAAGCATGTTCATGCTAGCATCTCACTGCCCCCACCCCCAAGTCAAAGCCAAGGTCACTTCTACCAGGAGGCCCTGCCCCAGGATTCCAACTCACAATCTTTTTTCTGTTGCTGAGTTCTAAAACTTTAAGGATGGGACCTGTTCACCCCCTTTATCCAAGTGTAACCAGGCCCTAACTTTTGCACCTTGTGAGAGGCAGTTATTAGGGGCAAATATTCGGTGTGGAGCAATCTATGCACCCCTATTGCTTTATTGCAGGTATTTGCAACAAGAAGGGGTTCTGTAGGAGAGGGATAAATGATGAAGTCAGGGTTAAGATTGTAAAGCAAAAGGCGCCACAACTGAGATGAAAGAAACCAGGGACCAAGCTTTTGACAGCAGGCAGAGACCAGTACCCAGCATGCACCTCCCAATCCTCCAACCGGGTCAGTTCAAGAAATTGGAACTGGTTTCCACGTTGGAAGCTTGGGGCTCAGTGGAGCAGTGTGGGGAAGGAGTTCATGAGCCAGGGGTCTCAGAGAGCCTGACCTCCTCAAGTTTTGCTTCCTCTTCTGGCTGTTTTACGCAATCTCACCAATAATATTTAGCAGTTTTTCAGAAAGCCTTGGTGCGGCTCTTCAATTTCAGTTCTTGACTTTCCAATTAACTCTATCCTGGGCATCCCCAGGCATTGCAGCTTGCTGAGCCTCCCTCAGTCTCACAAAGCTGCATGCCCTCTTTGAGATTCCTAAAGCAGGACCCTGCCTCCTTACATACATGCGCCACCGCGCCTGTCTCTTCTGAGCCTGCAACATTCTGAAGCTGCTCTCGTCACCGAGGAGGCCGACGTGATGGATAATGGTTCCCTTCTCATTTGCTATTGGCTAAGAGAGTGGCCAGCGCTCTTGTTAGGTTGAGCTGGGCAATGTGACCCCTAAGATGGACTCTGTACCTTCCTGATGCCGATGCTGGTGATTGTGCCGGCACCTCTGGGTGTTTTAAATGTGAAGTGAAATGCTAAGATTTTCTTGCCTTGCCTACCCACTCTCCACAGCGGAGATGATGTCGATTCCAGCTGGAGTTCTACCACGTTGATTTTTCTCTCTGTTTTAATGCTTGAAAAGTTGACCCAAGATCCATGAAGGAGGTAGGGACAGCAAGAATCAGATGGATGACGAGGCTGATAACATTTCCAGTAGATAACATTTGCTGAGCCCTGTCCTGGGAGCTTGCTCCCCGTCTGCACGCACCATGTAGGTGTCTCTTCCCAATGACCCCAATGTCACCTTCTCCACTGCAAAGGCAAAAGCCAAGAGCCAGACACTGTGCCCAAGATCACTCGGTAAGCAACAGAGCAAGGATTCAAACCTAGGACTTGCCGGCAATAAAGCTTGGACTTGGGAGATTTTGGAACTCGAGATGGTCCTTTTCTCACAAGGTGTGCCCGGGCCGAGAGCCCTTAGGCCCTGTCAGTCCTCAGATGCTGCCTCCCCCCCGCACCCCCACAACCCAGGCCCAGACCCAGCACTTACTTAGAAAATGTTTCTTTGGACCCCCAGGCACTAGCTGTGGCACCAGGCAAATCCACAGCAGGAGCTGGAGACAGAGCGCAGGCTTCATGCTGCTGGCAGGGCAGGTGAGCAGGTGGCTCTGAGCTGCTGGCTTAGAGGAGAGAGGGCAGGAGGGAAAGCGAGGTGGACCGGCCTGTGTGTTGGGAGCAGGCAGCGAGGGCTTGGCCCAAATCTAAGCACCTCCCAGCCACGCCCACTCCAAGATCAGGCAGTGTTTTCAGATCTAGGGCCCCCCCCAATTTCTGACCTGTCCTGGCTCTCATCTCTAGGTCTTACTAATGTCCTTTCACCTGATTTTATAATTTTTCCCTGTGGTGTTCTGCACTGTCTTGGTTGTATTTATTCTAAGAGGCTTTTTTTTTTTTTAATGAAATTGTAAGTAATATAACTTTTTGAGTAATTTCTTTGTTGTTGTTGTTGCTGGTGTAAAGAAATGACTTTTGTATATTGATCTTCCTTCCTTCCCTCTCCCAGCGCAACTCTCCAGCTCCTCTCGCCAGACTCCGATCACCACGCAGGGAACCATCATGGCCAGCCGGACGCTGCCCATCCTGCTTCTCTGCCTGCTGCTGCTGCAGACCCAGGGACACTTCTGGAGAAGGAAAACCCAAGCAAGGCCCCAGGGATCGAAGCCAAACTGTATGTGATGGGCTGGGGGCGGGGCTGGGCAGGGGCCAGGAGGGGCCAGGAGGGGTCATGTCCAGTCTGAGCAAGACCTGGGCCCTGGAACTGGATTCAGCACAGCCTGCGCTGCCCGCAGCCCGATGGGGCTCCGAGCGCTCCCGAAACACATCCTCAGCCCTGCACCAGGCCCCGGGAAGAGCCCCAGGCGGGCAGGGGGTCCTACCTCTCATGCTCCATCCCAAAAGTCCAGACAGCACACGCATCTCGGCCCTAGGACCGAGAGCCAGAGAAGACACGGCTGTCTTTGGCTCATCCACATGTGCAACGGGTGTTTGTGGGGGAGCCGTGGAAAGAGAGGAGTCGGGAAGCCAGCCTTGGGTGCACAGGGTGAAGAGGGCCCAGGAATGTGGCAGTGGAGGGGCAGGTGGAAAGTGTCTTCCCTGGGGAGGGGGACTGGAGGCAGCGGGAGGGGAGAGGAGGCCAGGTCATCTTCCTCTGTGGAAGCTGCAGAGTCGGGAGTGTGGGCCTGGGGGGCAGAGGATGTCTTGGGCTGGCTGAGTTCTCAGGGTGAGAGTGTAGATTCTGTGGGGCTGAGTTCACCCAGGCCGGGAGCAATGTGGGAGCAGGGTGGGGGGGGGTGGGGAGACAGAGGCCTGAGGTGTGCAGGAGAGGCTGGAGGCAGCAGGCTGGAAGGCCCTGCAGCCATCAGGTGTCCAAGAGTCACCATTGGGTTCTGAGTTCAGGGTCTCGGAGAGGCGCTAAGCTTGAGAGGTTGTTCTCGAGGACGAGCTCCATTCACCCCATTCCTGCCTCTTTTAGACGCAAAGGCCTGTGAGGTGCGACCCAGCCCATATCTTTGCACACACCGCTGTTCGTATTTCCTGGAGTGTACAAAAGCGAACACCGTGTGCTGCTCGACCTTCTGTGGGAACGTGTGTATGAATGTCCTGTGAGCAGGGAGCGCCCCACGTGCCTGCTGCTCCCCGAGCCTCCACTCAGAGACCGCGCCTGCAGCTGAAGCTCCAGGACCTAGAGTCCCAGCCATGAGGGGCGACAGGAACGCTGCCCTCAAATAAAGGGCCCACAACCGCTGTCAAATAAAGCAGAGTGCAGCACTGGGACCTGCCTGCTGCAATCACTGGGACCCAGCGCAGACCCGGGGTGTCCACGCCTTTGTCCTGCCTCCCTGCTCCCTCTCCACTTGGCCCACGCACCCCTGCCAGGCCCCTGGGGCTTGGCCCTGGCTCTTGTGCTCATGCCTCATGCGCGCGGCATCTCTCAGCGCTGGAGAGAACAGTCCTCATCCTGAGTCACAAGTGCCAGGTTAAGCGTGAGCTAGTCTGGGGGAGACCTGGGCCCAGAGAGGAGGCCCCAGGGCAGCATCCATCTTCCCAGCCCCAGAGCTTGCCACCCCTGCTCCCCATTCTGCTAGTGAGAATGTGAGGGAGAAGCAAACACTGGAGAGGCAGGAGCTTCCCCTCCCCCAACAGTGAGGAAAGACTCCCAGAGAAGCTGAGAGGCCAGAGAGTGAAGGTCAGGGCCTGCCTGCAGAGCCTGCTCCCTGCGGCACCCGCACCAGCTTCTACTCCCCCGTGGTGGCCCCCAGTCATGGCCGTGAAGCCTGTGCTCCCCCTGCACCCCTCCGCCACCCACACTTGTGGCCGCTGTTCTGGTGGGGACTGCAGCAGGTGCCCAGGTCTGAGACTCCAGAGCCTCCCACTAACCGAGAGCCCCACCTTTGCCTTGGCATCGTCCTCATGGTCTTGTTCTTTTCACCCAGGGGAGCCCACCGGGTGGTGGACAGGCGGTTCCTGCGGCAGCTGAGGGTCAACTTGCAGGATGATTGTGGGGCTTGTCCGTGGTCTCACGCGAGTTGATGGAAATTAACCACTGGAGAAGACGCCTTCTGCCCTATGCAATTACAGCTCCTCTGACATGGCCTGGGGCTAACCCAGGCACTGGAGCCTGTGGTCGGTGGGATGTGAAGTCAGTGAGGACTCAAGCAGGGGGGCCGAGCAGGAGCAGGTGTTCAGGGTTACACGATGGTCAGCAATTTGTCTGCACACCTGTGACTGAAAGCAGCCATTAATCAGGGCAGATTCCAGTATTTGTTGGGCAGGGTCCTTTCGGCCCACGTGGCCGGGCAAGCTGTGTACCCTGGTCCGGGGTCACACACTTGGCTCCCTGCCATGTGCCGAGGCAGCAGATGACTGGCTGCTACTCTGCTAAAATCCTAAGGTTAACCACCCAGACTTCTGGGGGTGGCAAGCCTTCAACTGACCTCAGAATTCCAGTAGTTCCATCAGACAGATCCTGCCAGTGCAATTGTCTAGGGGTGGAGACAGACTCCTTGTGCTTCCTACTTACCATCTTTCCAAAATCTTGTCTATCTGAATTTTAAAAGAATTTATAGAATGAACACACACACACACACACACACTAAAGCATAGGGGAATGAAACATTTAATTTTTTGATTAATGCACTGAGCACAGGTTGCTCTCTTAATAGTACCAAGGCAACAAATAATATTCTGGAAAAAAACCATTGTTTTCTATAGAGAGAAGTAAATGAGATGAAGCAATGGGGAGCCCCAGAAAGCAGTCAAGGTCAGCGATATGGTGTAGAGTGCAGAGAGGCAAGGAAGCAGCCCCAGAGAAAACAAAGTTGGGGCAGTCTGCAAGGCTGTGCTTCCTGCTCGCTCTCCAACCTTCCCAGTTCTGCCCAGCAGTCTGGGAATGCTCCGCCCAGCCAGCATCTTCCCTGAACTACTCCCCGTCCCCCTGGTCCCTGGATTCTCTTCCCGTTACGCTCCTTTTCTGGCATAAGGGCACTGGAGGCAGTGTCTTGTGTTGGGAAGAGGGTCCAGGGACTATCATGCTCCTAGTTCTAAGAGAAGCTGGGGGCTTCACCCTCTGGCACACCTGGATCTGCACCCACTTCCTCTTAAATCCTATACCCAGGACTTGTCGGCTGTGTGGCTGTGTGAAAGTTGCTTAACTCCCCTGTGCCTCAGTTTTGGTATTTGTAAAAACAGGAATAGTAGCAGTACTAAACTCATATGGTCCTTGAGATTATTAGTTAATACTTGTTAAATATCTGAAACAGGGAATTTGATGTTAAGCTGGGTGCTTGTTGATACTTGACTGGGTGTTTCATTTGCTTATTTAACAAACCATACACAGCACTCTCTGTATGTTAGACACTGGTTCTAAGTGCAGAACAAGTAATCACAGCCCTCCCAACAACCCAATGGGGTGTGTAGCCCAATAAAGGAAACGTCATTAAAACAGAGTGCAGTGGCCACCAGGCGGCGCTGTCACACAGCACAACTCACTGTCCATTCCAGACCCCAACGAAGGAGAAATCCACACTGGAGAAGGCAGGTTGCTTCTTTCTCAGCCATTCAGTCAAGTCCACCAATGGACTTTCTTTTGAAAGAGCTCCTCTTCACTTCCTCCTTCTCTCCAAAAATACGTTCCTCTCCTGTTTGTGGAATTTGCTTTTATTTATTTATTTATTTTGCTAGAGCTTGCTTGTTCCAAATTGCATTTCCTTTGCTATTCCTGAATAAACCCATTTTTGCTGGTAAAGTAACTGTCTATTTTATTTCTTAGATGAAGAGAGGAAAGTGCTGTTATTATACCCACTTTACATATGAGGACAGTGAGGCCATGGAAGATTCGTGTCATGCCCCGAATAATTAGCAGAGTAGCCAAGATTTGAGTCCAGGTTAAGCTTGCTTTTTACACCTCCACATTATGTGACGTTTTCTAAACTCTCTTGGTAGAGCTCTCTCTCTCTTTTCATCAATGCAAAAACACAAGACATCAGCAATAAGGTAGTGGTAGGATGGTGCTATCTGTGGAAAATTTAAAATGGAAGTGAACAGGACTTTACAAAAGTCATCACACAAATGGCAGAGGAAAGTAAGCACAAAGATCGTTCTCCTCCACACTCACCCAGACTTCTGGGAAACGTGTGTCTTGGGGGAGGGGAGCCTCCTGCCATCCCACGCTGTTCTACCCACATTACCTGCACCAAAAAAGAAATTATGAAGTACTCCTTGCAGAGCATTTAGTGACAATTTTTCTGTTTGCTTGGGGCAAAACTCATAAAACGTACAGTAACAAATCATGATTGCATTCTCAGGCTTTCAAATCTATCCTGCTCCGTTTCCTGTGAAGGTCTCCGCAGTTCCCTGGGACCAAGAAAAGAACCATCAGCCAAATAATTGCCGGCACTTGCAGCATCTTCAGAGATCTTCAGAGGTAGGTGGGAGTCACAGTCTGGGAGCTGGAGGGGTGAACCTGCAAATACTTTCATTGGTGATTTTGTTGGATGCATTCCCTCTCCAAATCAGGCCTCTGGATCATACCAACACTCTCCTTAATGCAGGGAAGAAATGATGGACCGAGTTGTTGAAATGGAGAAACTGAGAGAGAAAAATGACACCTCTAGACACTGAGTCCCTTTGGATGTGACACCCCTAGGAGGGCACTTTGCACTGTCCACAAGTACCCCTCTAAGACTGCATGACCTGACCCTAATCTTGAAAAAAATTTCAAACAAACCCCAAATGAGGAATGGTTAATTAAAAGAAAAGAGTGACTCTAGTCTTCAAAAATTTCGATGTTGTAAAAGACAAGGGATATTATTGGGTGGATTTGTGAAATGGAATCTGGATGACAGATGAGAATTCCCAGGAACATCCCCCCCAGCAAGGTAGAGAAATTATGATCCATGGAAAAAATTAATGATAGACATAATAGGACCATGATCTATGAAACAGAATTCAGGAAAAAAAAAATAGGAGGGAAAGAGAGACCCCTCAAATGTGAGCACAGTCAGGTCATAAATTCCTAAAATAGGTGAATCTAAGAAAAGGTATCAAGAAGTCCTCTATTTTTTTTTAAAGATTTATTTTATGCATACAAGAGCTGGGGTACAGGCCAGAGATGTGGGGGGCAGGGGCCGGTGAGAGGATCCACCAGAGATCCAGACAGAGTGGGTAACAGAATGGGCAGATTGACTGAAATACGCTGCTGAGGGGAGCAGTGGGCGAGACAGGAGAGGTCTGCTGCACCATGTGGGTTGCTCCCCGGCAGGCCGGGGATTGAACTCGTGCTGCAGAGGCTGTGGATTGCTTCATATTGTGGTGCTTAATCCCTTGCACCGCCAGGGAGGCCCCAAATAATATCTTTTAAATGTTTAAGCAACTCCTCACATGGGTCCAGGTGCCTCAAATTTTAATCTTCCTATTTTATAATTTTTCACACATGCTAGGAGGAGAATAAATTCAGCCCTTTTCATGAGTTTTGCACTTTTTAAAATAACTCAAGGTGTCGTGTCTGCTTTGGAGCATCTGAAGGGATTTCAGCCACTACGTATAGGTTCTCTTCTGCTTGGTTGAACATATTTAAGCAAAAATACTTTGGGGGAAATTGGTCACTTGTAGGGAACGAGACAGTCACACCACTGTAACTGTGATTCACGTTCTTCAGACTTGGGCTTTCTTTTAACTTCCTTTCTGTTTGATGGGGTGGGGGGCTAAGAGAGGAAGGGGGAATGAGTTGGGATTTTTTTTCTTATCTTCTTATTTTTACTTATTTTTTTTTAATTTGGAGTAAATTTTTTTGAACAATACTCCTCCTCCAGAGCCCCAAATTTCACCACCACTGCCTAAAGCAATAGTCAGCATGTTTTTTGCATAGTCTGTGTTTTGGATCCTAGACACTCTCTCTTTTTCCTCCTTCACGTTGATCTTAAACAAGAAATCTCTCTAGGAGCCTTCCTGGTGGCCTAGAGGTTAAATCTCAGCACTATTACCTCAACAGCCTGAGTTGCTAACCCTCATGGTGCAGCAGACCTCTCCTGTCTTGCCCACTGCTCCCCTCAGCAGTGTATTTCGTCAGTCTGCCTGTTCTGTTCCCCACTCTGTCTCTGGTGAATCTTCTCACCCCCTGCACCTCTGGCCTGTACCCTAGCTCTTCTATATATAAATAAATAAAATTAAAAAAAAAATTTTTTTTTTTATGGAGGCATGTTTTTATTTATTTATTTGTTTGTTTGTTTGTTTGTTTGTTTGTTTAAAAATGCACTGGGTACAGTCAGAAGCGCGGGAGGGTGAGAGAATTCACCAGAGCCAGAGTGGGGAGCAGCAGAGCCAGAGTGGGGAGCAGAACAGGCAGAAGGACCGAAGTACACTGCTGAGGGGAGCAGCGGGCGGCAGGAGAGGTCTGCGCGCCATGTGGGACCCTCCTCGGGTGGCCGGGGAGCAGCCGGGGATCGAACCGGCGTCGCAGAGGCCGCGGGCAGCTTCAAAACCCAGCGCTCAACCGCTGAGCCACCAGGGAGGCCCTTTAAAAGGTATATAACCACAAGTCCGATATGATTTTAGTTTTATAAAAATTCATGAGCATATGCATGCACATTACATGCGGTTATATGAAATTGCTAGAAATATTTTCTTCCTTGTAGTTTTTTATGTTTTAATATATAAGCTTCAGGTATGCAGCCTCACACCTCACAACTGCACCCCATGTACATGCCATGTTTGGAGAATTTTGTCAGCTGAATTTAAATTATCTTTTCATTAAGGAAAGGCAATCCATTTAAAAAATAAATTTTCTTTCTACAAAAGAAAGGCATGACGTGTGATATGGAAAAATACCTTTTGGGAAAGCCAGTGCTGGGCTTATGTGTGTGCCTGTTGTGGGCTGGATGGAGGGCAAGAAAGATTAAGTAGAAGACATAGGGCAAGGAAATCTTGAAATACTTCTCGCTTCACAAATCTCTCTATCTGTATCTCTTGATCTCAAGCAGAAACTGAGAGGGAAAGAAAATCCTGACAATATCTATCTGGACACAGTCACGGCCAGCAGCATGAAGTTCTGGACGCTGATACTCATGGCTTCCTTCTGTATGACTCTGTCAGTGCTGGGAGCACTGAAGAGAAGATACTCCGGTAGGTGATAAGGCTGGGGGTGGGGGTGGGGACCAACGTGGGGGGTGGGGACATTGTGTTCGGGACACCTGATTCAGGACAAATGCCTTTTTGTGCACAGAGATAACGATCTTTCGCTGCTTCTTCTTTGAACTTTGAGAATAGCATTGATGATCTTTCAACTTTTATGTAAAGTCTGTAAGTTCAAAGGATGTAATATTTTCCCAGGTCAGGCTATCTTTAGGTGGGAGTTGGACCGCAGTGCAGAGCTGCTGTATCTTCCTGGCCTTCTAGAAGCTCTGTGTCCCAGCTGTGTGTACTCTGATGAGCACCAGTGGGTATTTCTTAATAGACACCCTTACTTTTAGTGACAGGATGTTTGAGAATGTGAAAAGATAGAAAAGAGACAAAAGGTGAGTCCTCAGTGGGGCAAAATTTGCAGGGGACGGGGTGGGGGTGGGGAGAAGTCATAGGATAAGAAAATGGAATTACTGGAGAGGCCAGGAAGATTGAGTGAGAAAAACAAGAATTTGGAGAGAAGTTGAGTCATTACAAGCAGGTCAGCAAGGAGGGGAAGGAAAGGAGAGTCTCTTCCTTGCTGTTCCTGGTCTAGCTTCCCACAGCATGAAATGGGGTGATACTGAAACTCAGGCTGGCCAGCTTCTGAGGCTGCCAGCCACACAAATGGCGACTGGAGAGCAGGGCTCAGCAATGTGGGGGTGCCTAAAGAGGGCCCAGAGATTGCAACACCGGTTGGACCTGTGGGAGCAGAGAACGCAATGGGGTCCGTGAAATGCAACGACTGGGATTTGAGGCGTCCTGGGAGGCAGGTAGGTGTGTTGGTGGGGACTTGGGGTGTGGATGCTAGGAGGGACTATTAAATGAATACGGGACTTTTTTCTCCTGGATGGCTGCGTGGCCCCTGCCAGGCTATTACCATTTCATCTCCATTTTCAGAAGCTGAAATGACCATTGAGGAGTGCAGGGGAGAGGCAGACGTCCTGCAGTGCACCAAGGTGTGCTCGAAAACCTTCAAGTGCATGGAAGTGAACCACACGTGCTGCTGGACATACTGTGGAAACATCTGCTGGGAGAATTAATGAGTTGGGAGATATGTGCTTGGGCAAGTGTCTTCATGGATTCTTACCCTACCCATGTTTTTCCTAAACAGAGGCATGAAGTAGCCCAGTTCCTAGGCACAAAAATAGCAGAAGACCCTAAATCTGGAAAGCAATTTACTGGCAAATAAACAAGACGACAGCTTGGGGCATATTCTTCCTTTCACTACATCATCAGTGCCTGTGCTGGGCTCACTGTATCGCTTAATAGTTTGTTCATTTCCAAATTTTTGTCCAGATTTCTAACTGATACCTCCATACTCAGACTTTTCCATGAGCTATTTTGGCTTGGCCAGTCCCCAAATCTCTACCTTTCTCTATTCAATGAGTCAGCCCCCCAGCCCTGCCTTTGCCACTTCTTACATCAAGTGTCCCTGTCCCACGGTCTGGGGCGGATGGGCACTGCTAAGATTGGGGTGGAATACATGTTTCTCAGAGTCTTTGCCTCTAAGTGTCTAACCTTTTTCTCTTTCAGAGAATCTATGAAAGAAAAGGAACACTCTAACCTCCCAGCGAGGCACTGGTGTGTTCTCACTGAGGGCTGAGCAGCAGCCAATCCTTAACAAATAAACTCAATCACCAAGAATGGCTTTGACTTTTTCCCACTCCAGGCCACTACCCTTGACTGCCCTTCATCCATCCCCCATAAGTTCCAGTCCTACTCCTGCACGCCCGTTCGATCACCTTAGGACTGGGGACTAGTCTCACCGACTGCACAGAATAGAAGGGGCCAGCTCGCGCATGCCGCAGGGAGCAGGCTCTGCAGGCAGGCCCTGACCTTCACTCTCTGGCCTCTCAGCTTCTCTGGGAGTCTTTCCTCACTGTTGGGGGAGGGGAAGCTCCTGCCTCTCCAGTGTTTGCTTCTCCCTCACATTCTCACAAGCAGAATGGGGAGCAGGGGTGGCAAGCTCTGGGGCTGGGAAGATGGATGCTGCCCTGGGGCCTCCTCTCTGGGCCCAGGTCTCCCCCAGACTAGCTCACGCTTAACCTGGCACTTGTGACTCAGGATGAGGACTGTTCTCTCCAGTGCTGAGAGATGCCGCGCGCATGAGGCATGAGCACAAGAGCCAGGGCCGAGCCCCAGGGGCCTGGCAGGGGTGCGTGGGCCAAGTGGAGAGGGAGCAGGGAGGCAGGACAAAGGCGTGGACACCCCGGGTCTGCGCTGGGTCCCAGTGATTGCAGCAGGCAGGTCCTGGTGCCACGGTCTGCTTTATTTGACAGTGGTTGTGAGGGCAGTTTTGAGGACAGTGATCCTGTCGCCACTCTCACAGCTGGAACTCTGGCGCTTCAGCTGCAGGCGCGGTCTCTGAGTGGAGGCTCGGGGAGCAGCAGGCATGTGGGGCGCTCCCCACTCACTCAAGGATGCTCATGCACACATTCCCACAGAACGCCGTGCAGCAGATTTTGTTTGCTTGGCACTCCATGTCGTGCTGACAGTGGTAGCTGCACAAGTGTGTGCTCACATGCTTCTTGCACTGGCCTATAACTCTGGGTGGTACAGTGACTGGAACAGAGCAGCAGATGGGTGAACAATACAGGTCCCTGGAGAGCACCCCTCCCTTAACCTCATTCAGTTTCAGTTCAACTCAGGACTCTTGGACTCTCAGGGCACTCAGGCCTGCCCCTCACCAATCCTGATGGCTGCAGGGCCTTCCAGCCTGCTGCCTCCAGCCTCTCCTGCACACCTCAGGCCTCTGTCTCCCCACGCCCCCTCCCACCCTGCTCCCACATTGCTCCCGGCCTGGGTGAACTCAGCCCCACAGAATCTACACTCTCACCCTGAGAACTCAGCTGGCCCGAGACATCCTCTGCCCCCCAGGCCCACACTCCCTACTCTGCAGCTTCCACAGAGGAAGATGACCTGGCCTCCTCTCCCCTCCCGCTGCCTCCAGTCCCCCTCCCCAGGGAAGACACTTTCCACCTGCCCCTCCACTGCCACATTCCTGGGCCCTCTTCACCCTGTGCACCCAAGGCTGGCTTCCCGAAGTCCTCTCTTTCCATGTCTCCCCCACAAACACCCGTTGCACGTGTGGATTAGCCAAAGACAGCCGTGTCTTCTCTGGCTCTCGGTCCTAGGGCCGAGATGCGTGGGGTGTCTGGACTTTTGGGATGGAGCATGAGAGGTAGGACCCCCTGCTTGCCTGGGGCTCTTCCCAGGGCCTGGTGCAGGGCTGAGGATGTGTTTCGGGAGCGCTCGGAGCCCCATCGGGCTGCGGGCAGCGCAGGCTGTGCTGAATCCAGTTCCAGGGCCCAGATCCTGCTCAGACTGGACATGACCCCTCCTGGCCCCTCCTGGCCCCTGCCCAGCCCCGCCCCCAGCCCATCACATACAGTTTGCCTTTGATCCCTGGGGCCTCGCTTGGGTTTTCCTTCTCCGGAAGTGTCCCTGGGCCTGCAGCAGCAGCAGCAGGCAGAGAAGCAGGATGGGCAGCGCCCGGCTGACCATGATGGTCCCCTGCGTGGTGATCGGAGTCTGGCGAGAGGAGCTGGAGAGTTGTGCTGGGAGAGGGAAGGAAGGAAAAAGCTGCCGACTGGCTCCTTACTGCCTCCACAGTGTCCTGGCAGGGCCAGGTGACCTTGTTTCCTGCCCAGGCCCAGCGTGACCTGCCTTGTGTGGGCCTGGGCTCATAGGTGGGGCCTCCTCTCTCCAAACTCGCCCTCCTCTGCAAACACATTTCCCCTTAAAACTTATACTCTATATCTGTCTTCTAGTTACAAAATAATTGACTTAAAAGAGAAAAATAGAATTAAGAACATCTCAAATAATAGAATTAAGCTTTATGTTAATGATTTATCTTTCCCCTTTCTTTGCACGTTTAATAGACAGTCCTTTGTTTTCCTTTTTGGAATAACCCACCTTTTGTTACCTATCTTGGGCCACCTTCATTTAGCACATAAATCTCCCAGAAATCATTGTTTTCATAACTCACAGCTCTCACATTTCAATATATGCCTATGTCAAGCATTGTGTTGTAAGAATTACTGATTATTTAGACATTGTCATGTTGAGCATTTTATTCATAAATCCTTATTTTTTATTTTTTGAAGATTTATTTATTTATACAAGAACTGGGGTACAGGCCAGAGGTATGGGGGGTGAGAGGATTCACCAGAGACAGAGTGGGGAACAGAACAGGCAGACTGACTGAAATACACTGCTGAGGGGAGCAGCGGTCGAGACAGGAGAGAGGTCTGCTGCGCCATGTGGGAATCTCCCCAGCCAGCCGGGATCGAACCCGCACTGCAGAGGCTGCGGACAGCTTCACAGTGCTGCACTCAACCTCCTGCACCACCAGGGAGGCCCTAAATCCTTATTTTTTTAAGACTAAAGTAAGAGGTAGAATTTGTGGTGAAAGAGCATTTACAATACAAAATTATATGTATCTATATTCACACATGCAGTCAAGTATCCATGTGCACTCACACAGAGAAACACAGTATCACTTCATTTACTTGTTTTTCTCTCTGTTTGACCACCTATGTATGGATCCTAAATATTATAGTTTTGTTTGGCCTGTTTTTGAATGGTATGTGCATGGAATCATGCTTCCTGTGTTCCTTTATGTTTTTTTGCTTCTTCCATTCAACATGCTGTAAGATTCATTCTTCCATTCATTCAGAGCTAATTGTAGCTAAATAGTATTCATTTTCATTGCTGACTAATGCTCATGTCCCCACACAGACTAAAGTTTATGGAGTCTATGGGCCAACCAAAAGAAAGAGAATAAAAAGGAGAGAATAATGAGAACAAGGAGGAGGTGAAGGAGACAAAGAACCATTAGACAAAGCTTAAAGTTGATACTTTGAATAGTTTAGTGACCAGACAACCACTGGAAAGACTGAGATGTTGGCAAAAAGTTAAGATAAAAAGGGAAAACACTTGTCAGCAGGAGAACAGAAAAACAAATTGTGTATATCCGTAGAAGGAAGTATGATAGAGCAATGAAAAATAAGGAACTCATTTACACACAGAAACATGGATAAATATTAGAATTGTTAATCATTTTCCTGATATGAAATAAGTGGCATGGGACCCAAAATCAATGTTGGATCCTTTTTGGAATTTTTTGATTTATTCTAAATTCATTGTGTAATGTCTTACCTTCTAACATTGACAAATACATTTTATGCATTTTCTTCTTATTTGTACATAGCTAAGATAAAATATATTTGCTATTTATTATGAAGTAAAAAAAAATAGTGATAATAATCATTAAAAAAAAAAGAATTGTTATGCAGAATGAAAAAAAAATCATAAATCCATAGACTGTAGAAGGTGGTACCATTTTCATTAAGTTCAAAAATAAGTAAAATAGGGGCCTCCCTGGTGGCACAAGGGGTTAAGTCTTAGCATTTTCAAGATATTGCCAGCCATTGCAGCATGATTTCCACCCCCAGCCAGGGAGCAACCCACATGGCACAGCAGACCTCTCCTGTCTCACCTGCTACTCCCCTCAGCAGCTTACTTCAGTCAATCCACCTGTTCTGCTCCCTACTCTGTCTCTGGTGAATCCTCCCACCTCCCCTGAACCTCTTACCTACACCCCAGTTCTTGTGTGCATATATAAACAAATATAAGTCTTAAAAAAAATAAGCGAAATGAGAGAACATACTGGGATGAAAATATCATTTAAAAAGTAACAAAGTTGGGCCTCCCTGGTGGTGCAAGGGGTTAAGCACCACACTATGAAGCATTTGCAGCCTCTGCAGCACGAGTTCGATCCCGGCCAGTCTGGGAGCTACCCACATAGCACGGCAGACCTCTCCTGTCTCCCCCACTGCTCCCCTCAGCAGTGTATTTCGTCAGTCAGCCTGTTCTGTTCCACGCTCTGTCTCTGGTGAATCCTCTCACCTCCTGCCTCTCTGGCCTGTATCCCAACTCTTGTATGCATAAATAAATAAATCTTAAAAAAAAAATGTAACAAAGTTTAGGAAACTCCTCACTTTCATCGGAAGGCAGAGCCTGTAAGTAGAGGAAATGGTTTTAGATAAATTCCTTAATCTGAGTTTACCCCCAAATGCAGAGCCCAGGTTTAGAGTTTGCATGAGTTAGTTTATTTGGGGAGGTGATCCCAGGAAGCATGAGTACAGAAGGGGAAATGGGAAAGAGGAAAAAGACAATACAAGAATGTTCTGTGGAACCAGCTCCTCGCCAAACACCCAGGACTCCATCACTGGGGACTGTCTGAGGAGCACATAGGATGCTTCCAGAATTGTCAGCCTAGAGGAGGAGAAAGGAGAAAGACTCACATGTTGAGTCCTAATCCCACGGGCCAAGCATTGCCCCCAGGGGTATGGGCTCCTTCCTGATTTCAGGTTGTGCATTCTAGTACATTCTAGGGCAGACCATTGTTTAAGTCACAGGACATGTGTAAGAGACATGCAATATAGCTGGGGCAACGTGCTGTCAGGTTACACCTGCACAAAGCTTGTTGACCAGCAGTAACCTGGAGTGGGCCAGGTGGGGAAGAGGCTAGGGACAAGAAGGTGTCCAGGCAGATCCACTGATGCCTCCACTAATCCCAATCCATCACAAGGCCACCAGGTCATAGCTTGCCTTCAAATGACTTAATAAAAGTCTGTTTGCAGCAGGCTGCGCTACCCGTGCTGTCTCTTGACAAGGTCTGGGCACTGGGGGAGACTCCCGAGAAGAGGGGAGTTCCTGTGCTCCCCAGAAGAGGGAAGTTGTGCTTCCCAGAAGAGGGGAGTTCTTGCACTTCCCAAGAAGGTCTGAACTAGGGAGTCTCCATGGCAACGCCTGCTAATGCTCTCCTCTTTGTTCTTGGTTAATGCCAAAGTAAGTTAGTTATTAATTGGCCTGTGAAAACCCAATTCGGACCTAGACGTTAATTGATTTATTGTTCTTACACTTGAATCAGTATCAAAGAAAGTACAAAATGCTAAAAGTATAGTTAGGAAAGAAATGTTTTGGCCCTGAGAATCATGGAGAACAAGCTGCCCTGAACCAGCTGTGCTTGGAAACCATAGCCTAACACAGGGGGTACATTTCCTGGTGTATGCAAAAGGTCAGTAGTTCGCAGGCTGTGTGGAGGTTAGGTATTTCTAGTTAGGAGTTAGACTTCAGTAGAACTAACATGGATTTGATGAGTTGCTTTAGGCCACTTTGAAGTAATTGATAAATTAGCCAAGTTAATTGAGTGCTAAGGAGATAGGTTGATTTTTAGTAATAGAGTATACAATAGAACTTTTACACCCACTATGAAACTAGGAAAGTTCAATAGAATGCTTAATTGTTGCCAAATGTTGTGCTGTCTTATATAATTGATGAAGTTAGAAAATGAGCTGTACCTAGGAAACTAATTGTTCCTGATGTTTTTAAGGTAACCAAAGAAATGCCCTCTTGGTATGAGACCAAGGGAGTCACGACATGTTCATGAGAAAATATGTATTGATTGTCTTTGTTCTGCTTCAATGCTGATGTAATCCCTCCGCTTGCCTTAAGGTATAAATAAAGACCCGCTGAGACCCTCAGCAGGAGATACTTACACGAAAGAAGGTGTCTGTGTCTACCTCACTCCACTTCCCCTCAGCCCCCCAAGATTTCACCGATGCCATCCTCTCCTTTCTGAGACCCCTGACACGACATCTAGCTGGAGCTGGTCTCCAGCATCTGTTGGTAGAATAAGCTACAGATCTCATGCGGCATCTATTCCTGGGACCACGGATGCCTCCTTCACTGCCATCCCACATCTCCCTCGTCCTGGACCTGTACTTCAGTGGACCTGATCTATTTGCTTAGTGATACGATCCAAAGCTTCATCTCTGAGGGATCTGAAGCATCAGTTGCTTTATCTTTTTGAGGTCAGGATTTGTGTAGACATCTGTTTAGACTTACCGTCACATCTCAGTTATCACCCTGGCCAATATCCTAGCTCCTTTCATTGATACTGGGCTCACTTTCATCGGGAGCCCCAAAACATCAGGTGGCAGTCATAATTTCAAAGAGAGTGGAACTTCCACTGCGTTGGCCCCCTGTAACTATTACTCCCACCAACGTCTCTAAATCTGGAGCCTAAGGTTTGGAGATGGGAGACACAGACTGTACCCATGGAAGTGATGGCAGGAAAGACCAACCCTCGCCTTGTGTCCTGGACCTGGGGACTCTTGTTGGAGGCCAAAACCACACACGTCAACTGTTTGACCTGATGGAGTGTGAAGCAGGATGCCATGGCAGTGTCTCTGTCTGTCCTTGGATGGCACAGCTGGCGGAAGGGCAAGCTCACATCCAACGAAAGGAGAGTTCCAGGAAGGATGAGTTCCTTCCCTCTCCACTCTCTATAAACAACACTTATGATCAAATTCTGTGCTTAATTTTCAGTGCACTTTTCTCTCCAGCTGCAAACCTGAATGTTTCATTGAAAGTTGTCTGCATTTCATAGCACACCTTGAATTAATAACGACTCACAAGCATGCCACTTTCTTTGTTTAAAGGGCATTTGGTGAGAGATGATGTTAGACTTTAATGAAGGAGAATCAAT